GATAAATCCATTAGTAAAATTGGCAGTAATTCACATCATATTTTTAGCAACAGATTAGCTATAGATATTCCATTGGTAAAATATGTCGATAATCCATCAATAAAAGTGTTTTAAAAATTTTGTTAGTATTATGTTAGTAATTCATCGGTAATAAATATTTTTTTGGTAATGCTTGAGGATTAACTCCACCAGTAACATCATGACTCTTTGTAGGTAATAGGTTTGTTTAAAGGTTATGAAACAAGAATGGGTTGGTAAAAGTGCAAGTTTTTCAATTTTATAACTATATTTGCCATGCTTCCTAATTACAATAACTTCTAGAAGGCTTCTACATTTTCTTCTGGAATGCAAGACTAATTATGAATGTGTGTTGGCCACATTCATAGCTCCCCTAAGGTCAACTAATGAGAGTTGCTTATCCTTCAGTAGTAAGATTCAATCATCTTGCTAAGATTGTTCTGACTTCAGCCAATTTATCCTCAAGCCTAGATTCAAAACCTTTCTATTGCTCTTCCCATTTGTTGTTGTAATTTCTTTATCTGTTTGCTGCATTTTCTTTGTTTACTATTACAGAGCTTGCATTTAATCATGCAAGATATTCCACCTAGTTCCTTCTGCCATCACTATTAGTTTCTTTGTCCTACCCAGCTTTAAGAACTGTAGATTGTAAGACTCTGATACCAATTTGTCACAACCTTACTGTGACTGGTGAATTAGGAAATTCCATAATAGAGAAAAAGAAAGAGAAGAGATAAGAGAGAAATAGAGAAAAAAGAAAAAGAATTAAGAGAGAAATGTTGTAATTTCATTCATGGAAAGAACGTTTACAATGTAACTCTCTATTTATAGCTGGATGTGTAACACTATAGTAATAATAGAACTGCTTATTCCTATGCAAATGCTGACAAATTTCATAACAAATACCATGACAGCTTTTACACAGAATTTTATGCTATATAGAACCAATACCAAGGATGGATTTACAGTGGGGCAGTGGGGCAAATGCCCTCATTGAAATCCTATAATCTTTTTAAATATATTATGATATTAAACAAAAGTTTTAATATTTTTACATTTTGCCCCCACTACATCGAAAAAAAATATATAAAAGGGAAGGATTTGAAAATATTATAAAATATAGATATACTTTAGTAAAGAAAAATTGACTCATTTCAAAAGAAAATAAAGTGTTGTATGAAAATATTAATAAATTTTGGCTTATAAATAATTATTTCATGTAAGTCTCATTTTAGCTAACTTAAGTCACAATCTAGTATTACTTTTCTCTCTTTTGCCCTTATCTATCTATTCTCCTCTCTTTCTATTTACAAACTTCATTTTTTTTTAACTTAAGTGAAATATCATTATATTATAAAAACTATTTAACTCAATTATACAATACTATTTTCATTTGAAAAATGATAATATTATGCGTTTGTGTTTATTTGATATTTAAATTTACGATGCATTTAATATTATAAGTTTTTGTTATATTTGTGTTAATTTCTATTTAAATTTTTTGTATATTTGATATTATAAAAAATATTTCAAGTTCTTTTATTAAAATTATGTTTTACATTTAGAAAACCTTACCTTTATATTAAATAAAAAATTTTAAGTAAATATATTATATAATAAATTTGCTTCCACTAAAGAAAAATCTTGAATCCGTCTCTGGCCAATACTCTACTGCCAAGTCAGCAGGGACCTTTACCATATTCTGGACAACTCCATTATAGTCAATTTCTAATTCCTCTCTGAACTCCTTATCAGCCTCTCCCGGCTCCTTATTAGCTATTTTTTTCTTAGTTTACTCCGTTACAACTCCTTCCAGCATCACTTTCATCTCAACTTCTGCTTTTTTTGTAACAGTTTCTCTTCTTAATTGGCTTTCTATTAACTTTGCTTGCTGCTATCATGACATTATGCCTCAGGTTTTAAATCATAGCACAAATCTTGATCAACATGCTCAATCGTTCATTATGGATTGAAACAAGTGATTCATGTAAAGCTACCTTTTTTTTCTTGTCCTAACCAATTTTTTCTTTAATCATATGTGGCATTCATGCATGACATAATGACAACTTTTGTTTTTATTTTCAAGACCCACAAATTAATTTTTTATTTAAAATTATCAAAATTTGATCTTTCATGATTGAAACTAAAAATTCAATTTTTTATCAATAAATCACATCATAAGATCCTCTAGTCATCTTCAATATTCACTTTTGTGATCTAGAATTTAAACATTGACATGGCCATCCGTATGATACTAAGAACAAAAGACATGAATTTTCCTTGATGAGATGAGATATGGGTTCTTTTTTTCTTTTTCTTTTTTCACTTCTCATAAAATCAATTATTAAACTATCTTTATTTGTATTTTAATTTTCATTTTTTCAACTTTTCTTGGATATAAGGAAACATACATTTTGTAGTAAAAATTCAAATTGCATTGGATACAATAGAAATACAAATTTGATACAATATCCAAAGGGTAAGTTAATAAAAAAAATTGAGATACGAGCTACCATTTTCATATGCATATAATTAACATCTTTAAAGTTGACCTTGCAGGTAGTCAAGGGTTTTATAAAGATTTAGATTTACAGTATTTTTTCCATTCACAAACATAAATGGTACAAGAAATCTCATTATTACTAGGCATATTTTTAATTTATCTTTTAGTTTATTTTTGTTACAAATATAGAAAGAAATAGAAATAGTCTTAGATCCTAATCCTACTTAAAAATTAAAAATCAAAATCATCAAAGATGAAATAGCAAAAGGATATGGAATATTAGAATATTGAAGAATGAGAATCATGAAATATGAAAGGAAAGAGATAGATGAAACTTGAAATTAGAAGTGTTCATGGGTTGGGTTCATACTTGGTATGAATAACTTAAATAATTATCTAAGTTTGGTTCGACACGGAATTTTGGGTTTCAAATTTTTTTCAAGTCTAATCCAATTAAAAAAATAAATCTCAAACCTATCTATTAAACTTAATTTATATAATAAAAATTTAAAAAAGTGATTAAATTAAATTTAATAAGATTATATAAGTTGAGTCGAGTCAGATTCATGCGTAATATTAATAGCTTAAATGATTATTTAAATTTGGTTCGACTCAAAATTTAAGTTCTCAAAATTTTCTCAAATCCAACCCAATTAAAAAAAAAATCTCAAGTCCACACATTAAATTTAATTTATATAATAAAAAATTTAAAAAATAATTAAATTTAATTTAATTGGATTATATTTAATTCACATATATAAAAATTAAAAATAAAAATGATGTAAAAATAAAATTTTAATTTAATAAAAAATATTTTTTTTTATTTTTAAATTTTATATATATGTGAATTAATTTTTATATAATTTACAATATATAAAAATAAAAATTATATATATATATATATATATTGAATGGGTTGGATTGGGTTCTAAGTCTTTTGTTTAAAACCTAATTTGAAATTTAAATGAATTTAAAAATTATGTTTAAATTCATTTAATAAATATTAATTTTTTATCTAAATTTTTTTCAAAATTTGGAAGAACTTTTAAATTTAGCCAAATAATTCTACTCATAAACAAATCTATTTAAAAGCAAAGATAACAAAAATCGATATGCAATTATTTTACAAAAACACATCATTAAGATTTATAACTCTTTTCTTTATCATAAACTGAGGTTTCTTTTACTTTAAAAAAATCATTTTGAAAAATAAAAATAAACATATTTTGATTTAAGAATAAAGATTTATTAATATCTTAATATCTGAAAAAAACTCAATGTTTGATTTTATAAAGTGAGAGGGTGGGTCTCTTTTATCAATAAATGTTCGATACGCTAATAATAATAAAGCGATGTTTCACGAGGACACATAAGGGAAGGGAGTACCAGATTTTGGAAATATCTTTTCCATATATTTTTTTTTTAACTGTGAAATGTCATGCAAACAAAATGGTCCCAAAACATGGATCCCCGAACAAATAAATAAACAAAGGCCTAAACTTATCTATCTCAATTCTCACATCATCTTTCAACCTTTAGCTTTCTTCAGTTGTATATTCGTACACCATATTTCTCTATCGATTGCTTTTATATGTGGCTTGTATTAATTTAACATGATATGCTACCCCCTACTATATGGTGAAACGATATTTATTCATGTAGGTTTTTTTATATTAAAAATAAATAAACTCAAATTCAATGGAAGTTGAAGGGATATTTTTTTTTAAAAAAAAAAGGAAAATTTGGGAAGAAGAGGTAAGAGAGACAATGGGTTTTAGTTTTTTACCAAAAGCTGCTGCACATTTGACGAGAGAAGCCAACAAAAACAAAAAGACTAGAGGATGAATACAAGTTTACAGGCTGTAACGGAGGAAGAAAGTCGGAAAAAAAAAAAATAATTGAAGGCACAATAAAAGGTCCCCACTGCCACTGCCCCTACAACTCAGAAATGGGGCAGCAGACCATGTACCCAAGAAGCAATGAGCCATTTTTCTACACCGAAGGTCCCCACTTTAATAGTCCTTGCAGTCAAATTTTGCTGTTGAAAATCAGACAGTCTCCGGTATGCAAGGGACTTTAACCCCATCTATTTCTACTTTGGTCTGCCAAGGTTCCATAGGAGAGCTCACTCTTCTTTCTCTTTTATTTATCACCTTTTGATCATTCAGAAACCTTGAACGCCACGTTTTTATGATGACTAATGGATAAGATTTGATTCTTAGTCTCCATACTTAAAATTTATCAAGAAAGAAAAGATCGTTTTATCATGAAAGAAACAAGTTTTAGTAATCCAGAACTTAGCTATGTTAATTCATATAACTATCCTTAAAAAATAACATCTAACAAAATTTCATTCAACTTCTTAGCCTTTAAGGCTGGCACCTCCATGTAAAAAGAAAAATGTTTTCCCTTCATTTGTTGTTTCACAAATAAAATGAGTGGCAAACACAAATGCGTAAGGGGCAATCTGCCTGTCCCTATTACTAGAATTTTCTACCAAGTTAAACCACAACTTGAAACAAAATAAAAGGGCAGGATCACAAGACAGAATCTCTGAAAAGACATGTCCCTGTCACTAATCAAACACGTCCACATCTGCAGCTGTCACGATATTCCACAAGGCCAACATAATAAATAATGCAGCAGATATGAGGAATAGTACTAAACCCAGTAAGAGATTCTTAAAACGGTGATAAAAAATTATGTTCTGTTATCTGTTGATATAAATTAACAGCTTTGATCAGCAATGGGATTAATCTAATAAAAAACGCTCGTTCAATCCCAAATTCTAAATGACCTTCACATATGGATTATCCAAGATTTAGCATTCACACGCTTCGTGTCGACACAGTAATACAGTATGCTCTACTCAACGCTAAACAAATAACATGTCATCAAGGATGTACTAAACAAAACAAATAGCCAGAAATGGGGTTAGAAGTCCCATCATTTTTAGTATGATCCGCTAGATGCAAATGAGGATAGGGGGTTCAGCATTGGTTAAATTCCAATCACAACCTAAAAAATTACACTGAACATTCATTGATCACCATAAACACAGTTTTAAAACAGAAATCCTATAGATAATATAAATAAACACAAATCCACAAAATCTACTACCTTCGGGGGGAAGGTTACACATCACACCAGAACCCATCGCCCGCCGCTGAACATAGAAAAGAAACAAGCTCCATTTGTTTCTGCATCTTCTTGTCCGAATCAACAAGGGGAAAATCCCAATTCCATGCCACCTCGGGGAAATTGCAATTGAAACTAGTCCTGTTTATAGCATGGAATCAGTTCTTGCAGGCAACCTCCTGAAGAAATTGAGAGGCACTGAAGGAAGCTTATGGCGAAACCTAGGATGTCTCAAGATGTAAAATCCAGCTAGAAGTGCCACAACCTGGAACGGTGTGACATATAAAACAACGGCAGCAACAAGACAGAAAATCACAAACAGAGCCGTGGCTCTTGGGTCTCTCCAGCTTAAAAGAGACTGCAGCCTCTCACCCTGTGTAGCTAGATCACCAACCACCGTCTGAATTCTTCCAGCAATACTTCTCAGTCGATCATATCTCATCCTGACAATATCAGATGGCCGGGAAGTTGGAAATGTGTCAAACTCTTCATCCATTTCATCAGGATGTGTGGACTCTGCATGAGAAAGGCGAGTGTCCATGTGAGGAGGATGCCTTGGCCTCCATCTATAATACCATACCCCAATCAAGAACAGGTAGAGGAAAATTGTAGGCAAAATAAGCTCAGGATAGAGGACCAGTATAATAAACAAGATGTGAATCAATACTGTTGTAATAGGGTTTTTCCAATTACAAATCTGATCAAACCATTTTCCAACAGCAATTAACCCACCCAAAACATTCATAATTCTGAAAAAATTAGCTTTGCTTCTTCTCATACTCCACATGTGAAAATCCACATCTAGCATATACTCCACCACCTCTTTTCTCAATGGTGGCTCAGCCCGTCCTAGCCTCATTGAAACAATCTGGGTGGCCTGGTGCCTCAAGTTATCAACCTGGCTAACAGTCAAGGGATGAAGATAATGCATTTTTGGCAAAAGCGGAAGCGAGTACATATGCATCATATTAAGCAAGGAAGAGCACGTGAACCTCACAGCCAAATGAATTTCACCCATCTTCTTGACCCCATTTGGATGTAGCACCAAAAGTGGATATGAGTGAGTGTAACGCCTATCGGTTTCAAGAGTGGAGAGACGAATTCTCACCTTCCCAATCTTAGAATCCTTTGCACCTCCAGCCTTATCTCCTCCATGCAAATGACAGTTATCAAATACCCCAATAGTTATGACAGTACAAGGATCAAAAACCTCCCATGTATACAGCTCATTCCACTTGGGTGCAAAGCTATCGATTATTGTCCTTGTTCGCACCCATTTTTGACCAAATTTTGCAACACAATAAGCATCAGTTGTTCCCCTTCCATCTTTTGTCTTCATTGGCACTAACCCATGTGCATCACGAATCCCCAGTTCCAGAACCCCAATGCTAGACTTCCACAACTGCTTTGCGGTTGGCCTAAGATCACTACTGTAATGGGTTGACTCATCCAGAACGTGATAACCACCTTCCAAACAGATTCTCATATGAATTCTGCTGGCAAACTTGGTCTCTTTCTTCTTCTCTCCTTCTACAACAACATTCTTCTCAAGATTAAACCACCTACTATTCACAGGTCTATGATCAAACCTCTTATCTACATATTGTAAAGAAATTGTAGACTTCCCCAGAACTTCATCCTTGTTAGGAGCAACCCTCTCTTCTACGCTCAAAATTAAATGCTCCTCGAAAGGTTCTGCTGCCACAAACATCAGATCCTCGTTCCACATTGGATTAATACTCCTGACCGGAGAAATCCTAGTCCTCGAAGCCTGATTTCCCAAGATAGCCTTCACAAAAACTTCAGGATACGGACCCTTACCACCAGGTTGCAAGTCCTGAGCCTCAATCACATTGACCCTCAAATACCAAAGCCTTGGAGAGAGATATGTTTTTGATCGAATGTTCGCATCAGCCCCACTAACAACAGCTGCATCAGAATGCCATGCTTCAGGAAACGCTTCATCAGCTTGAGTTCCCATCCAAACAGCCAACATCAATTCTCCCTTAACCTTATTCCTCTGCCTATCCTCCAACCTATACCATTGTGGTGCCAGTGGACTATCTGGTGGAACCCTTTTTGGAATCTCATTAAGATCAAAGATAACCTTCCCAATAAAGTCATCCTTCACGACATCCTTGTCCTTAACTGTAACCTCGAGCACTGAAGCCTGAAGCCTATCTTTCGAAAAAGCAAACACTTGATTCCACTCAGGATTCGACTTTTTCTCAAAAAACCGAGTTTTACCCGTGTAGTTTCCAAGCTTAACCTCAACATAAGGATCACAGCTACCTGTAACATCTTTCCCTGGCAAATCCTTAGCCTTTACAACCCGAACATATAAGTATTCCATCTGTTCTACCAAGTCATAAGTGCTCGTAAGCTTGTCCCCACTGACCTTTCCACCACCGAGGTGGGGTCTGGTCTCCTTAAGGGCGAAATCTTCTGGAGGAGGACGATGCATCATATTTGAATTCAAACAAAGAGACCCGAAAAGCCCAAAACCTGGAACAAAACTTCAAGAGTTAACAATAAAATAAGGAAAAACCAGTTCAAAAATCCAAAAGTTTTCCAAAAACCTAAAAGATCGGAACGTAATAGCCGTTAATAAAAGAACAAAAACAAACTGAGTTTGCCTAAAAGCTTGGGAAACTAAAAAAGGGGGAAAAATAAAAACAAATATCCAAAAATCCAAACATTTAAAGCAACACCAAATGTTATAAATGAGGCTACACCCATTTTATTATATGAACTCGAAACGACAACCGATGAAACATAAAACGCAAAATCCAGTCATGGAAGAGACGCTAGGTAGACAAAGACAGTTAACGAAACTTACAAGGTTTTTTAAGTGAGAAACGTAAACTGAGGCTGCCTTCAAACTTTCAGATCTGCCAACCTTGACTCCTGAAAAAGCATAAAAATGTATGAAAATGAAGCTTTTAGATCCAATTACACAAAGAATTTACAAAAATAGAGTATTTACAACTAATCCCTGTTTGGTTCCTGAGAAAATACATGAAAAATGCATATTAATTTCTCTGATATTTTTGTTATCTCTAATGGTGCTGGATATTGTAATACTATCAAAAAGTTTCTCCTTTATTTTCAAAGAGAAAAAAAAAATAAAAACTTCAGATTTTCCTTTTGTTTCCAAAATTTTTCTCAGTAACATAACAGCCAAACCAACAGTTTTGTTTTAGAGAAAAAAAAAATCTCCAACGTACACTTTTCATTCCCCTTGTTTTTCTAGGAAACCAAACAATAGTTAAGAAAAAACAAATTAAAAAATAAAAATAAAACTGAGCACCAAAACTTCACAACTAAAATGGCGAAAAAAACAGACCACGGAAACAAAGCACCATACTGCACTATCAAAAGAAACAACAAGAAGCTAAAACAGTAAAAAGAAAAGGGGCAAAAAGGCTTTTAGATTCGAATGCTGAATGAAAAACTACTAAAAACAACAAAAAAAGATAAATATTATACCTTCGAAGATCGGTTCATTAAGAATCCAAATGAAGCGTTTAAATACAAGAAGAAAAAAAGCTCGATTACATCAAAGAAAGTCTCATCAGCATAAAATTGAACCGAAATGACTAAGTAAAGAAACTTCCCAAGCCAAAAAAAAAAAAAAAAAAAAAAACCTATCTTCTTTCAAGAGAGTGAAAAACAAAATATCAGAGAAAAAGATAAGAACAAGGAAGCGAAAAAGAAGTCCCTACAGAGTGAGAAGAGAGAGAAACGGTACAGTTCTTGCTTTTGTTTCGTTTTTTTTTTTTTTTCCCTTGGGATCTAATGAATCTGCGAGAGAATACTCCGTTTTTGTTTTTCTTTTGGGGCTCCGCTCTTTGCTTTGCTTTTTTTTCTCTCTCTGCGTGCCGTGAAATGGTGGGGACAAGACTATTTCACGCGTGTGAGAAGACTGTGGTCGGCATTTCCCACGTGAGATCCACGATTTTATGTCTTTGTTTAAGGTGAATCGTCGGAAACAACCCCATAGGGGTGGGACATAGATGTCAGGCTGTGAGTGATGCGTCATTCAAATTATTAGATTCTTTGTTTTGTTAGGGCTATTATAGAGATTTCACTTGTTTTGTACTCTTTTGCAATGTTTTATCTTGGGTTGGAATTTTCAAGGTCGTTATTTATAATAATAATAATAATTACGTCATGTTTTTAGATGAACCCCAACGGTGAAGTTAGCTTAAACGGGGTTTCTTGTAGAAATTTAATTTTTTTAAGTTGAACGTTTGTTATAAACTACTCTTAAACATGCATTTGAACTTGTTTTTAGATTATTTAGAACAGTTTTTTTAATACAATAAAAATATAATTTTTTAATTTTACAAACAAAATTAAAATATTATCTAATGTTTTTTTATAATTTTATTGGTAAATTTTAAAAAATTTTAGTTAAATAATTTTTTTATTTGAGAAAATACCTCAAATTGAAGTTTACCAATGCATTAAAGTACAAATTAATGAATTGATATCGACTTAATAATAACTATTACATGTGTAAATATTGCTTTTTAATAAGTTTAATTTTCATGAATTTTTTTTTATAAAAAAAGTTTAAACATAAATGAATGATAATATAATAATATAATAAAAAATATCATATATTATAAATAATACGAAAATTTTACTTGATTTGTGAAAGCATAACGAAAGCATTATTATGGAAGTGTTGCGAAAATGACACCAACTTAATTCACTGATCGAAAATAAGATCATACATTTAAAAATTGTTTACTATCCATAGTGTAAATTCTTAAGCACTGAAGCATGAGATTCACAAGAAATGTCTTATTCTTTTATTTTACCAATCTCTTTTTTTTTTTGCTCTTTCTCTTATTCTCTATGTAACTTATCACATAGTCCCACATATAAATGAGACTTATCTCATATATTGGATAAATACTCTTTCATCATATTTCATAATGGCTAAATGCCATACTTTATTTGAGAAAGTAAGAGACTTCAACAAAAACTTTTTCGTAATCTTCATACAATGGCCGAATGTCATTTTTTTATTTTTTTGTTACGATCGAAATGCCATTCATTGGAGGAAATGGGGAAGCATTCAGTTTTTAGTTTGATTCAAAACCTATTGTTAACTGCTATAGGCAGTTTCTTGTATAACTACAATATGTAGTTATTTTTCAAAGTCCATCAATTTGGGTAGTCTTTTCCAACATCTCTCATTTACACAATATGGGTGGCAAACTCTCATGATCAAGAGAATATTTTCTCAACTCTTTGTAATACATTCATACAAGAAAATAAGTCATACGATTAACATACTTTAAGTGCTTGGTTGCTATATGATTGTTAGGTGCATATAGTAGCTCAAAATCACATTTAATCACTTATACAACTATTAGGTATGTATAGTAACTCTCAAGTATAAGTAGAGTAAGTATGTAGCACCTTAGATCCATTCAATCTTATTTCAAGTTTCTCGTGATCTCTCTTTTATCATATTACATGATATACTTGTATATAAGTAGAGTAAGTATGTAGCACCTTAGATCCATTCAATCTTATTTCAAGTTTCTCGTGATCTTTCTTTTATCATATTACATGATATACTTGTATATTCATAATTATATTTGACATCTTAAACATTATTAATCGATCTATGAATATAACCAAATGTGATACCGAAATGATCTTTTGTTCTTCTAAGATCTTTCTATTTCAACTAAATTACTTTTCAAATATATCTCATTAGATCGAATCATCCATTTTCATTGGCAATAATCCACGATAGCTAACATTAGACTAGAACTTTAAAAAATAGTTAAAAGTCTTTAAGGATACTAAATCTAAGATATCCTGATATTAAGAGTCTCACACAATAAAGGTAGAGATCTATTCTTTTGTTACTCTTGTTGATCGAATAATACACATGTGGTATGAAATACGTGCTACGGTATTACTCTTATTTTTCTATGGAATGAATGTTTTAATCATTAGATATTAACATCGTATAGGTGATAGTTTAGATATTTTCAGTATCTAATTTGAGTTCATAACTCTACTTGATTTCACATCATCAATAAAACTTTCATATAGTATTTAAGACAGACAAAATGAACTATGATATTATTCACTTTCAGTCACAAAGCTTAATATCAAATGACCTCATATTGATTCCTTATCAAGGTGATTAGATTTTAAGCTTGGGCCCTCGATCCATAGCTCAAAACTAATCTTATCTCAATGGTGCCAAACCATTAAGGCATTATTTGTGTGAGAAGGCCAATCATCTATCCAACATACATTTCAAATCATATCGTATATGTACATATACATATACATGTGTGCATAATTTACAAAACAAAGTACTAAACTTGAATGGCATTACTAATATTCAATATAAGTCAACTTAAATGAAAAAATCATAGATTGTTCACATATCTTAATCGATACATCCTTATCTACGTAACTCTAAAGATATCATATGACTATGAAACGTATCTCTAGGCATGGGCTTAGTTAATGGATATGCAATTATCTCATACATAGAAATGTACTTGTTGACTTTTTTTTGTGCAACTATGTATTTCACAAAATTATATTTGGTATCTTTATGTTTGGTTTTTAGGATCTGTTTATGAATGTAATTGTTACTTAACTATTGCAATTCACTAATATTGAGTTAGACTTATCTTTTTTAATTCTCAAAAGATTCAAAAATCTCATAAGCCAAACAACCTCTTACATTATCGTTAAAAATGCTATAAGTTTAACTTTTATTGTGGATAGTGCTATTCAAGTCTCTTTCTTATTGATCCAAAATATAGCTTAATATTCAATAAGAAAACATAGCCAGAGGTAGATTTTTTTGTCATTTAAAACTCCTATCTAGTTGGCATCCATATAGCCAATTAAATGCAGATCACTTTATTGATAACACAATAAATGATTCACAATGCTTGTATCATTTTCATAGCTTTATAATATGATTGATTTAGATTTAATTGATATATGCTTACCATGCTCAAGGCATAGTAGATTTTCAACCTTGTGTACATCATAAAATATATAAAATTTCCAATAGCACTAGAGTAAGGAACGTTTGTCATTATTCCTTTACATAGTAAAGTCTTAGGACACATTTTTTAGCTCAAGTCTTCATCTTTTTCCGTAAAAGTATTAATTGACTTATAGTCTTACATACTAAACCATTCAAAAATTTTCTTAATATATTACTCATCTGAAATTAAAATTTTTTTTGAAACAATCTCTCTTACTTCTTGAACAAAGTATGTCAACTACTTGCACATATTTTTTATTTCAAATTTGAGGACAACCAAATTTCATCATAGTGAAATACTCTTTATCATTTTTAGCCAACAATATATCATTTACATAGAGTGATAAGATCACAAGCTTGTCTATAATTTTTTGACATGTGTGCAGTGATCTTCATCAATCTTGGTAAAATCATATAAAATTATCACTTGATGAATACTAATGTACCATTACCTGAAAGATTTTTTAAGACCATAAAATGATTTTAATCATCTACACATTTTTATGCTATTCACCTTTGTTAGTGAAACCTATAGATTATTCCATATAGATTTTATCTTTCAGTTCTTCATTTAGAAAAGCACGTGTCACATCCATTTGATGTAACTCCAAATCTAAACATGCTATAATGGTTAGAATTGCATCCTTTAGATAAATCAATATATTCCTATACATTGTTTAATCTTAGACTCTATCTTTCTTCTTTCATTGCTTTCATCCACTTTTTTTACTTGTATTGTGATTCTTATGAAACAAATTCAACAAATTCATCATCTATAGTCATATTTTCACTTAGATGATACATTATTGGTTATTGATTAGGAATATACATTAATTGATTTGTAACTTACCAAATTATTTGCATCCTCAATCTCATAAAAAGATATTTTTTGACTCATTTAACCTTTATTTTTTAAACTCATTTTTCATAAAAGTGACATTTCGAGATTCAAAATTCAGTTACACTTTCACTTGATTGTTCACTTATGAACACATATCATTTTGAAATGTTTAAAGTATTTTACAAATATACTCTTGTTATATTATGGACCTAAAACTTATCATGTGAATGAACAAACTCCATAGATAATACAACATCATGTTTTGAAGTTACTGAGATTAGTTTTTCTACCAATCCATAATTTATAAGAAGTGGTTGTAATTGATTTAGAGAGTACTCAATTGAATAAATAGATAATTAATAACAATATTTTACTTTAAAAGTGATTTACAAACTCATTTAGGCCAATATTGACCTAACCATTTTCAAAAGAGTTTTATTTATTTTCTTTACAACATCATTTTATTGTAGAGTCATTGAAATAGTTAACTACCTATCAGTATCATTTTTATCATATAATTATATAAACTAATCAAACAAGTACTCATATCTACGATCAGTTCTTAAAGCTTTAACACTTTTATCTAATTGATTTTTCATAAAATACACATACTTTCTAAAGCACTTTAAAGCTTTAGATTTGTGAAAAATCAAATAGATAAAAAAGAAACGCGTGTTATCATCAATTAATGTGATGAAATATTAACCTCCACTACGTGTTCTTACATACATTAAGACACAAAAATCAAAATGTATCAGTTATAATGAAATTTTAACTATAGTTTCTTTATCAAATGATTTTCTTATCAGTTTATTTGCTAGACAATTTACATATAATGGCTAATTAACATTATCATATAGAGCATTGTAATATTTTTTCTGCTAATCTATCCATTCTTTGTTAACCTATATGGTTAAGTTTAGCATGCCAAATATTCATATTAATATTGGTATTATAAAACTATTTAATAAACATCCAGAATCATAACGATTTGTTTTAAAAAACAAATCTATGTTAGTATTATTAAAATTTGTAATAAATCCTAGATAAAAAAGAATAGTGATAGAAATTAAATTTCATTAAATATCAAGAGCAAATAAGACATTATGTTGGATGAAGATTTTTTCACCTTATATACTTAAC